ATATAGTCAGACTCATCCATTCGGACACTAGTTCATCTGGTTGGCATTAATGACTCCCCGTGGATTTGTTCTCCAGGAAAACATATTTCCGTACACATGGTAGCTGGCATTAATCGATAAAAAGAGATAAAAACGGAATCCTTGGTTAACAAATAACAGCTTCGTCTGAATGAATTGATGGCAGATGTGAGAAACTAAAATTTAATTTGAGCACATTGAATTGAGCTGCAAAGCTAAGTACTAAAATGGCCTCAAAAATTGGTTTCTTGTTTCGACCTAACGAATATGGATAGTAAAGATACTGGATACAGGAAGCCATAATTTTTATTCTCATTTCGAATGGTGTGACTGATGTAAGCAAAGGTGATCATTTATTGGTCAAATTAGGGGAATCTGTAAAGAAAGCTGAAACTGCAAGCTGAACGTGTAGAGTGAAAATAACACTGATCACAGGGGTCAGAAGAATTGTTCGCAACCAGTGGCTATTCGTTTAGCTACATACACATCTTCACGCCGTTCAGAAGGTTCTCAATGTGATCTTGTGAGAAACAGACGAAATCACATTTTTCTGACACTAATTTTCCTCAGTTGTTGAATTTAAAAATATACTCACTGAAATTTTGTTCACATCAATCCCACCAAGTTGATTTTCTGTTGGTCTATTGAGATTAACAGGAACACAGTTTACCTATGACTTCTTTGTAGTGTCATATCATAGAATCGAATTAGAGGTCAGGTTCAAATTCAGTGACCCAACCACGGTAATCATTAGACCCTGAAAACGACAGTCAATTTGGCCAGATGTTTCACAAGTTGAGGATGCGTAAACGCAAAATAAAAAATATACATAAAAAGTTTCATTTATTGACATTCATGATCAACGCTACGATTTAAAGGTCAACAAAAGTAAGCCTAAATATGAAAGACTAAAAATGAGCTTGGTCACTAACCGAAGTTGCTCTGTCAATATACTTCACACTGTGTTGTTGTTTTGCTATAGTGAACTTTGTCTATGGTATAGAGATTACTATACCACGATTTGTTTAGCACACAGTCTGAACCCAAAAACCATGAAGTATATATACATCACAGTGCATGGGAGAAAAAACAGTAAATGAATCGATTTTTACAATATTTTATCAGATATCTGAATTCAGGTTAATTTGCCACTAGGCAAACATAACAATGAAGCTTATAAAGGACAGATTGCGATGTGCATTTTATTTGCACGATACGTGAAGCAGGATTAATTCCAAGCATGAATTCCGTACAAATTCTGCAAAAGGTAGGTTGGTTCACGACAAGAACAACTACTTCTTTGAAGCACCGACACATTTGGCTATGTCAAATCAATGATAAACGAGAATCATCAATCAGTAAGTAGACTAAGCAAAGAATTGTAGCTTACAGGGCTTCACGATCGAAAAACGCAATCGCAAGGGACCAAATCACACGATCGCAAAATTTACATAGTTCAATGGGTAGTAGGCATAAGCACTTGGGCACACACGGTTCTAGTCTCTTGCGAAACAGTTTAATCAAAGAATGCCCTATATTGAGGCATGTAGATTATTGTAACCGTAATTGCTACGTGCTTCCCACTTAACGTGCCGGTTTGAACCTTAAAGATGACTGCCAGAATGCAATGCAGAATTCAGTCGACCAAATACTCGGGTGTAGTATTCTGTTGGTTGAAGAGGACTGGAACGCCCACACAGATCCCGCGGACGAGCATACTCAACGTACAAAGCGGGCGCTCAACCTACGTTAAAGCTGCGACAATGTCAAACACCGGGTTATGTTCACGCATTTCAAACGGCTCATTTCACGAATTCTTCTTCAAACACCCCAAAAGCATCTCCATACATGATATTTCAATGACGGCCGGATAGCACGTCAAACCGACCATAGTTTACAATGACCCCACCAGGCTTCATCGGCTGAAAACCGTCGAGTGTACCACGGCAACGTAAGGAGAAATGCCAATGACACTCACATCAGGTTGGTGCGTACCAGTCGACAGAAATCTCGCCCACAAGGCAAAGTGAACATGTGGAACCTAGCAAATTCAGACAGTGTTTAAATGAAAATGTCACCCCGAGGGTGTGCGTTTGTACAGTTGGTTTAGCTCATGGGTTAATTTTCAGAGTGCCCAACTGGTGAAACAAATAGATTTGCCAGTACGTTGAACTTATCTCAGATTGCGGTGCACAGACAGCAATCATCAGAGAAATCCAAGAAGCCAAATAGTCCTCGCACAGGAGATAGTTGCACACAAGTGAAAGTAAGTTAAACTACGAAAACCTTGGGATCCGAATGCACACTTACTTCCATGTTTGCCAAGAATCAATTAGTGAGAATACTGAATCCACTATGATTATTTACTTATAATCCTGGGGTGTGGGCCCCATTTATTAGGCCTCACTTGGACGCATAGGCAACGCACAACAATTATTTTAATTTTTGTGTTAATCCGATTAGGACATTTTCACCTGTCTCTCCTCTCACCCTAGGATTGCGTCTAGCACTTCATGAATCGAAGATCCATCGAAAGCCAGTTTATTAGGTCGTTTTCGTTTCCACGGATGATAAAACAGGAACTTTTCCCACCAAAAAAAGAGAAATACAGGAAACGGATCAAAATGCAAAGTTGTCCAATACGGGGGAATAGAGGTAAAGAATGTCATTTATACGGGTTCAGTTAGACATACAAAACATTTAATTTAAATAATGAATCAACATAAAATGAACCATTAGAAATTTCACAATGACGAAACTGAATATAAATAATCAGCCCCACATTGGTCATATGAGTGAGGGAATATGAGCTTGCTGTGTACTAAACAGATCCCGATGCAGTTTAAAATATAAGAAACATAAGAAGCAAACCACAATCAAGACTTACCTAACCAGTAGGCGTGTTGCAACCACCAATAGTTTAATCAAATGAACACCGAGTTAATACACACAAAGACAAGCATTTAACTTGACTCAAGAATAAAAAGGGAGACAACCAAAATACGAAAAACACCAGAGTTTTTACTTTGATACCGTACGAAAAATGTGATTAGGTATTGCTCCAAAACAAAATGTCATGATGCGTTTCTGAAAGAATAAAATGGAAGTCAACGAAAACAGACTCTCTCATCCCAGCTTAGGCTAACACCCGCTCAGCTTTTTCACACCATTGTATGGCAAAAGAACCATAGTCTGATTGTCTCTGGGCTTATCTTGAAAGGTGATTACTTGGTATACGGACCCTTCCAACGAATCAGACCGGTGTTCCTTGGATTAAACTGTCTACAGCCACAACACATTTAGTGGTTGAACAAACGTCTTCGTCGTGTTTTATGTTAATGTCACCCCAATAAAATAACACTGCGACATATCTGCCTGTTTACGTCGCACAGAAAGAGAGATGGTAAACGGGAGATAATCGTCAATTATTGTGTAGGTAGAAAAATCAACAGGAACGTATAAACAATCGAAGTAGGCGAATAACAACCAATGTCACTTTGTTGCATTGTTATTTCGACTAGCAATGATCAAGAATAATTGCAGACAAACAGAGACACTTAAATTCATGAATTTCGTCGATCACCGGAATCTCATTAATTCTAAGGATTTTGCATTGATCCCCTTCATAGGATTACCAAAAATCCAATGGAAGATACTCGACATTGGGTCTGAGGCGCGAAACACACTAGGAAGGATTTTAAAAACTTGCGCATTCAAATAAAGGGGGACACTAAGGGACGGCTCAAACAATCAAATACATCACTGATGCTTTCTAGACACCCAGAAGAACAGCATTGCGATGGCGAAAAGGCATTTCCTGATAAAGTGACCATAGCAACGACTGAAGAAAAAACGCAGAATTGATGAACGCGCGTGACAATTGGGTGCTTTGGAGATAGACAGTAAGATGCTCAAGTAGTAAGCATAGAATGGTGAAAGAAAAGAAGGAACGGACAGCTGACATGCAGTTGTAATGAGAAGGCAAATGACGTTGGGCGCATGAGCAAATAATCAGCCTCATGTAGTAGCATTTCCATACTCGATATCCTCAGAAGAAAAAAGATTGCCAATAAAAGAAACTTCCAAAATGGATGAATAAATTTGTCGATTTGGTTAAATGTAACTTGTCGTCATGAATGGTGTTCTTGCATTCCCCGTGAGAAGTCCAGAGGTTGTTTGGATCAGAAATGATGACAACTACTGAAAGAAGTCGAACAGTTTTCGGGTATTTTTCACCACATCAAACCCATCTTTTCAGGGCAGAATGAACGGAATCTTTTGAGAAGGTTCAATAGAGATAATTGGTCTCGGTACGTATGTACCACAAGTTGTTTTCTGTGGATTTCTCACGGTTTTCGTCCCTTCAGGGTATTTCGCTGTGTAATAACAACCAATATCACGACGGCGACGTCAATATTCAGCTTAGCACTTTTCGAAGTGGGACGCGGTGTCTTCAGCGACATCCGTAAAAATCTTGAGCATGACGATTCTTCTCACTGAAGCGTTATTCGTTATCCAGTAAAGATAACACGTAGTAGCTCATGATAATGAATTATTTAAAACTGGAGTCAATGACACTTGAAAGTTGACGCAACACAGAGTGAACAAGAGAAAAGTTAGACGGAGAATAAACCACGGGTACCCAAGAAACTTACGCATCAACAACCGACTCTTTGCAAAGATAATAGTTGTCGAATTTGGACTTGTTAATGCTGTCGCTCACGTTCATCGCTGGGACACGGAGCGTACCGGCTTTCACATATTGATATAACCGATGCACACCGGTCACACTCTCCTCCACAATACCACGAACATCAGACAACAATTCCGGATAATCTTTGTGCAGTTTATGAGTCAGATCACCTCCATCGTCCAACACCTAGAGAGTAAACAATTAAAAAAATGATGGTTAGTAAAATTAGCTGTATTGTGGTTACACATGGTATTCACAAGAGACTGGGATGAAAAGTGAAATAATATGCTGCAAAGATAGAACAGATCGATCGCGGAAGGACTACACATAGCTTAAGTCTATCAAGACTGGTCACGGACAAATAGGGACGCTCAGAGGGAATGTTGAAGAGCTGTTTCAGTTGCATTGAAGGCACTAGTCCCGAAATAGGAGAGAATAAGGCACAGGTAATAAAACGACTGTTTTTTTACGTGGAGTAACAGTACCAGACAGAATAGAATTACGTGAAGCGAACTTGGGAGAGTCGCCAGATTCTCGATATCTAAGACATCGAGATTCACAAGTACGTGGGTAAAGAGAATTAGGGTGCAGAAAACTACCGATTATTGTGTGAGAAACCCATTCCAACGGACTTGAGTGATGTAAAACTGTCTAATGCGGTTGCTTATAGATTGCCGTATATTTTTTGACACATTCGGGAATGAACCCAGGCGAATAAAGTGAAGCAAGCAGTATCCCAGGAGTAATGTGCATTAAGTGAAATCTAAATTTGAACGATGGAACTCGCAGTTGGTATCCACGTTATGCGTTGTCAAAACATTCGGTACTAGGTCATGAATTCGGAAACAATAAAAAGGCATGAATGTAACAGTGCTACTTAAGATGAGTTACATCGCCTAATTTGAGTTATCAAGATTTCCTATAAAGCTGTCTAAAAGGGGAAAAGCCTCGTTTTCATCTAACCCAATACCAGTCGCACTCCGGCCAAATACGACCAACCACTCAAATTAATAGGGCCCGGGTTACTAGTTTAATATGATTAAGTAGTACGTTATCTGAAGTTGTGGCAGCGGTGGAGTTCATTCGATATACTGTTGACCATACCAATTCACACAATAAAAAGTACACTGAGTAAGTAAGACGAACATCACACTCTGTAACGGAAACGTCCAAACAAGTTAAATCGGACAAAAAGAACGGTATTGTGTAGGTGTAGCGTGATTTCTTTAGCACACAGTTCGGACTCCGACAAAAGTGGTCCAACTCAATACATAGTGAACAATAGGTTACTGACGGAAATGTCATCATTTTCGAAAGAATATCTGCGTTGCATTGCACTTCGAAGTTCGCAATGACAAATGTGGTTGGTTCGGGAAATGAATTATATATTTTCATAATAAAAGAATTAATACAAAAGAAACATTATTGCTTCTTGTGAAAAAAAAACTAGGAAAAAGTAACGAGAATCGAGAACTTCTTCGATGAGATTGTTTCAGTTTCTATTCAGTCGTAATGATTAAACTTCAATCCAAGTGCAGTGAAATTTGAGTGTTGCAAGTATATACATATGCTCTTGATGAATTTTTCGACGTTTGTTTATTTCATACATCCGGTTCCCCTTAGGAATTTCATAAGAGCAAGAACAAGCATCGTCACGGGACAGGTTAAATTCAACTGTTTCACGTTTGTTTATTTGTTGATTCCGCACCGGTCACCGCATACAGAGAGCATATGTTCCATTGTCACGTTCCAAAAAATAAACCGGGGTTCAGTCCTTCTACTTTTTTCAAGTCAATACTAATTAATGCATGTATTGAAATCAACCACGGGATGGCTACAAGCTTCATATTATGACAGAGTTTGTGGCAGTCCTAGCTTATCTGACGGGCGTTTCCGAAGGCCGGATGCTGTTGCAGATCTTACTTTAATTGACCAGGTTAATAGGGATCAATCAATCAGTTCAAATGAGGAAACAAAACACGAGCACCTGCAGTGCGCTTCTCTACCGATAGACGTCAGTAGAATTCATGGGCTTGGCATTTGCATACGCATAGAAAAAAATACATAGGTGAGAAAATACATTGATACAATTAAAGAGATGGATGAATAAAGAGGCAGGAAAGAGAGAGAGGAAAACAAAAAAATTGTTTGTAAACATTCCGAGATGTGAGTCATAACTTACAATGTTGGGCGACCAACCCGTCCCGTTGATGCACCGGTCGATACACCACCAAAAGTCCTCCTCTGATTCACCTTTCCAGGCGTAGATGGAATAACCATTTTCGGCCAGAGCGGCTGCGACTTCGTTCTAAAGAGAAAAGTGTGCATGAGGAAAGATCATTTGGATTTTGGAGCATTATCATTATCATCGTACAGCGGAAATAGAGTGAAGTGAACTCCTGTGATCGCTGCCAAACTCAAAATGCATACAAGATTAGGAACAATATAAAAGGGGGATAGGGATTAGGCCTATATTCACGTAGATGAAAAGAAAGCGAACGCTTATGGTTAAGACACAGTGTACAGGCCCTAACGCTCCTAATCAGGTAAGTGATAAAAAGAACGAGTCACAGTAGTACACACGTTTTATGCAGTACTGCTTCACAGTTTGTTGTAAAATTGTCGGTAGGTATTATTACTGCTCTGTGTATTGACCATCGAGGTTCACTTTCATTGCCTCCCTCCAATCAGGTTCAATCCCTCCCTATTATATGCTTATCACTTGATTTGTGTACATTGTGGACTTGGCAGCGATCAGTGAAGTTCGTTCACTGTATCTCGGTGTACGATGATGATGATGATGCCTGTCGAAATCTATGTGGCATTTGAGCGAAATAGAACAACCATTATGCTGATTTACCTGGATTGTCATCCTAACGTACCCCGGAGTGATCACATTGAGCCAGCCCCCCAATTCCGATTGCCCGTCACGTATATAAAACATATATCTCACCAACAAGAATTACGTCTACTTAAAGGAGCTCAGTATTCAAAATGTTCGAGTAAGATTGCTCATATAAGTAGTTTTAAAAACCCTATTAAACTATAAATTGACTGAAACTACTGGGCTTCTTAACAAAATAGCAGCATAAGGCAAGTATCTCTTCTGTCCTTACGCGCTATGTGAAACACCAGAAAGAATATTAATTAGTTGATATTTCAATATGAGTTCATCACGATTAACCGCGGAGAGAAGATAGTTGAAATGATGAAGTTATTCCAAACAAGAGAATAGTTCACCTACATAAAACCGGGGATGAAATAGAACGAATGCTGATGTACTTGATCGTTCTCCAGTATGTAACCGTTTCTGTGCTAGCATCATTTTTTTTCTGAATCTTTGTAGTCAATATCCTCTCTTCTCGTTCACTCATATCCAAATGACTTTGATAATAAATCAACAACCAATTTCTTTTCGCTTCAGCGCATATAATTACGTAAATGTCCATACATGATATTCTTCTGACAACATTTCAACCTATTTAATGTGCGTAGACAGCTGACTGATAAATCGATGACTGATATCGATTCTGCTTATGTTGTATTATTTGTTTTATTAGAAAATGGAACAATCAGGTGGGAAATTCAGAGCTTATTATTATGTAATCATGCAACCGAAAAGGTTGTCATTTTTCTTCCCAGTTTGTATTGATGTCTACTTCCTATCTGACCAAATATTTCGACATAAATTGTAACGTATTAGCCTGCGCGAACGAGCTAGATCGCTACTGTTTTTCTTACAATGAACGATGATGGTATATTCAGACAACCATGGTTATAAATCCAAAACGCGATGCTGGTCGGGGATAATCCTTTATTGAGGATTACAGATGGGAGGTCAGTAATTTGGCATGCATAAAACAAAAAACTTATCAGGAACGTGCGATCGCAATTCTTTCCGAAACACAGGGTAATGTACATAGCAGTCGGTAGTTATTCTTTCAGACACATCAGTTGGCCCTCGGTGATCTTGTTATATCTTTGATCATGGAAAGTTACCTACTACTCATAGATGAGCAGTATCTCACAACACTATGATGAATACATTACGCAAGGATCGAGTACGGTCTCATCTTTGGAGCACAAAAGGCAAGAGATGAATAAGTGCGAGAGTGCAAAAGCTCATTGAACAATATGAGAGGGAAGTATACACAACCTTGCGTGACTCACAGCACGTTTCCATTCAAGATTCTTCTCAATTTATTTTCTCTAACTCATTGAAACTTGGAAAGAGTGAAGAATAGGTTGAGCTCATGTCAACGTGAATGAATAGGACAATAGATTTGGTAAAACAACGGTCCTCGATATGTCGTATCTGACGGATCCAGTGCCGTTCACTAAGTTTGATTTACTAAAACCACTAAGTTCGTCTATAGTGCATTTGTTCTTCCTTACTGAAAAAAGTACGTCATACGGAAAGCTGAATACAACCGTTGTAGCGAACAATAGCAATGACCGACTAACTCCGTTCCAGAGGTCCGGCGCTCATGTATACCAAAGTGGTAGGACGAAATAACAAACCAGTGGTAAACCACCATGCACAAAATATCATTATGGCTTACTGAGTGCGAAGTAATTTCCGAGAGGCAAGGGAGAAGCAGGTATGAGGAAGAAAAAACAAGTCACTCAAAAGACAGCAAACGAACCTTTGGTTTTTAAGTATCAATATCAGTTTATCATTCAGCCAAACAGACGACAACACTTTTAATTCCGCAGGTAATTTCTTTTTGGGCTAATATGCTGGTTAATAACAAAATGGATTTACTTGCGGAACAATACAAATGTGAATGTTTAGCCTTGCTCACTATATGCAAATTGTACGCACTTCATGGTCTGAGGTCATTCGAATCCTTACCATGCAAATCACTACAGTACAGAGGGCAGTCAGCTCTATGCACGTCGATAGTTGACCTTAGTTTTCTGTCCTCAAACGTCTAACGAAGTTAATCTCCCGCTGGAGGTCTATTCGAACGGAGAAGAACCATAGAGTGTGGGATGATGAGAAGAACAACAAAAACATTGGCCTGGCGAAAATCGATTCACTTTATTCTAATGCAAAAACTGACCAGCCAACTGATTGGCCGACTTTTGGTGTGTTTGTATGGGAGAGAAAAGCCGCATCCAAATGGGACAAGGTCGCAACCACTCGGAATTGTTCCTCTAATTCATAAAGAGATGCAATTGAGTTGCACATTCAATCACCGTCTGGGGGGGATAAGATTCGATTTTTCTCCAACTATTTATTGCTGCTCCGATGTTAGGAGAAACACCGCTTTCAAAGGTACACATTAGCAGAACAAAACCCGCAGTCGAAAAATTTCTAACTCATGCGCATAACTATCAGATCATAACTTACAAATTGCAACAAAAACAAGCTAGTGATTGCGTTTTCCTGATTCCACAATCAGGAGTTTCCTAATAATTTAATTTTTTCGAAGAGAAAGAACGTGACTTTCAAACGCAATTCATATGGGTAGTCCGAGTATTATTTTCTTACGAACAGATACCATAACAGAGAGCCGAATTCCCAAATCAGCATAATGTCAAACTTCATCATCAATCAGCAAATCACAAGCTGTTTTGGACATTGAAAATGAATCAAACAGATACAGGTAAGTAGAACCGAAATCGGCAGTTTCATTGGTTTTATACCACCTGTAACAAAACTGAAAATAACTGGTGCACACAACCGGCCCAAAGGGTGGAATAAGCATTTTCGCATTTCACTCCTGGGCTTCGAAAAGAAGAAATAACTAAAGGTCAAAAGGACGAATACCCCAACAATGACATCACAATTAAGGTTAACGTGCTCTCCAACAATGCTTTCTCGGGCGTTTGGTTCAGTTTAAGGTCAAACAACGAGAGTTCTCTCCAGAAAGGAACTAGTTAAGCTGCTGTTTGATATTTGCATAAAGTCGCAGGGTGACCGAGCCGACAGGTGTTGTTTCTGAGTGGGCCAACCAATCTAACAGCAAATACGTCAGTACATTGCAAAATTTTTGTTCCTATGGTTTAAAAGCATACAATTATGAGAACTTGTGTCACTTGAATAACTCCAGAGGATAATTATATTTAAGAGTAGAATGCAATGGGGTAGAGTACAATACTTGATGGGATATTTCGTGAGTTTTGTGCATCATTATTGCTACTATTATTTGAAAGCGGTTTGAGAACCAGTGTGGTGCCAATGCGGCAATAACGATAATAGAAATAGGGGATTTGGGCACAAAAGCTGAGAATGAGGAGGAACGGAGAACAGGGGACAACAATGTTTTGTATTTGATTCACCGTATTCCTTTTGATATTTTCGGTTCGCTGTATGTTTTTTGTTTAATGGGGCACAAAGTTTCAAGATACAGAACGTACATAATTGCGCAACCGAATTCTATTCTGAGCCATATCTCTCGGCCTTTCTCATCAACAATAATTCTCAACCATTTGATCCGAATCCACAAGGCACTAATCGAGGCCGATGTTGAGGCTAACTTTTTAACAACCTGACACCAGGTTATGGACTAGCTACTGCATTGCTCCTACAAGCCTGGCCCAACACAAACAAAAAGAGCACGGAGGAAGAAAATGAACAGGCGTACGTAAAACATGAATGAGGGGGGGGGTCATCGAAGGCGGAGAAGAACAATTGTCTCTTCCATAGAACGATTATCAATACCTTACACAAAACGATGAACGTCGTTTCTCGTGAAGAATGACACTTTCCGTTGCATATGTGCTAAAAACACCAATCGCGGACGACGCTCGTCCGTATTTTTCTACTGATAAACTGATTTGATGTGGCAAGTAACGGTTAACCGTATTTTAATGGTAGCACAAACACGAAGATCATTTCCAAGGAGCCAAAGTATCCAGAAGCTTGTTTTATCAAACTGTCAATCATACCTCAATGAGCGTCGAAAGTCTGTTCTGGGTTGTTTAAAGCGTTCAACATTTACGCACTTCTTTTTCGTTCCATTCTCGTATGCATGTTGCGCAGGCATGGCAACATGATCACTGTGTACATATCCGACATTTCATGCAGACGAGTAACGGAATAATAATTGGGAGAATAGTGTTAGAGTATTATTTGTTACTCATATGCACAGTCCGTAAAATAAATAAATCTAAACTGTCCATATAATTCTGCCCCAATCGCTAAGCAAACCCGGAAGAAAAAATGTTTGACACAACGTTAGAGAACAAGATAGGGAATTAGAATGCAAGTGAAAAAAGCAGAAATGTGGGTATTAATAAAAACTAAAGCAATGAATGGATGTTTCACCTACGGCAAGGGAACATATTGTAAGGCCAATCGATACACCCAAAACTTTTCACTTAAGACAAGCGCCAGTCTTTAAAGTGAGTCTATTTTGCTTTAACTTGTGTACCCGGAAGGTTTCCTTTAAAAAATCTCATCCTTTCCTCGTGAGTAAGAAACGACTTCTGTATGGCATCCCATTACTGGGTGGCAGGTGTTCTTCGTAAATTGCGCATAACTTTTGTCACCGTCAAAAGTCGTAGATGTGGCAACGCTGGAAGGGACGGACGCCCAGGTCACAAACACCAACTCATTGGAGTTGGAACTCGGCAGCTCAAACGTAGGAATAGAAGTCGTGAACCATGCAAAGATGTAATAACATCATGGAAACTACAAACACAAAACTGTGCAAAATACTGTTACTTCTACCTGATTGCAGATAAGACTAAGTAGTTGGGGGCCGTAAATAAGGTGGTGTTTCCGCTTTGAGATCGCTTAGTTGTTTTCTGCGATACCTCCCGTTATCGCATCCGCTTAGAAACCGTACTATTGGTAATTTACACTGGTGGCAGTGGCTGTTGGAGATTATACATGGAAAATGAGGAAGCTCATAGAGCTATAAGTAGGCTATTTCCAATTTTGGTCCTTACCACAGTGAAATAGCATATACAGCTCCTTTCTATGATATCACTTTTTAATTACTGAGTAATCCAAAGGAGGAGGCTACGGGGTGAGAACACAATATAATTTAAAACCAGCAAATATCATAGGAATACGTTTGAATCGACCACTTTATGTGGATGTTTATAAAATTATATCTTGGAAATCCTTTAACTGTCATAGATGAGATGGTACAGAACAACGGGAGTACAGTATAGTGATAATCTATGGGGTAGAGAATCACGATGCCCCAAAAGAGTCAGCTAGGATGCGTAATGTGAGTGAATCGCGATCAGCAAGATCGAATAGCTTCGAATTACTTAAGGAGATTTTCAGTGGATTATCTCTCATGCTGACAGTATTTCACAAATTAGAATCAATAATATGCAACGGCGTAAAACGGATGATCGATTGTTGTTAGTTCATGCTTATTCTGAAATATGTACATTGTTACCACAGGGTGGTGATCGGGTGCACATGTACCGTCACTGGAGCAATGCTCTATTTGCTGACTTCTCTGAACGAAGTGAGCAAGCGTGCCATTGGTTCTGTGGCACTGTTAGTAACTATCCGGTTAATCTGAACAACGCGGACAATAGGTAGAAACGGAAGTGCGCATAATTCCACAGTCAGACGAGCACATATGCATGACAATTCACAGGCGAAAGCTCATACATATCAACGTACAAACAACACCAACAGAATATTTTAAAGGTGCATGCTGACGACACACGAACAGCTCAGAAAATTGACTGAACAATTTCTTGCTTGCAGCACTATGAACTAGACAACCAACCAGACTGATCCGCTTGAATGGTGTCCATATCACGATTCAATCGAGGATGATTGTGTAACGTGAGTTGGTGCGCGTGAGTCTATGTGCATGACAAACTTAACCGATTGTCCCATGGATTTTTGTATCGATCTATTCATTAGATGGTCATGAGCGCATCACATGATAGGATCGGAACAGCAATGATTGGGGTCGTTTCGCACGGTGGCGAACCGCGGTTGATTTGCTTCGCATGTAAACGTACTTCGAGCATTCATAAAAATCGGAGGGTGGGTTGGTGCTCAATGCAGATCAAAATGGCATGCATGGCAGCAACGAGTAACAGTTTATACTTGCATTTACGTGTAAAACCCGGTAAATAATTATGGTACACTGAATCCTACTTCAATCGTACATGTGAAGACACGGAAGTTGACAAATTATACAGTTCCCGGAACCCATAGAGTTAAGACAACAATGGTCATTCGAAAAAGACTGAAAGATCAGCAGCTGCGCGGTGTAATGCGTTCAACATGCGTGTATAGCAATAAATTTATCGCAAAGGAAATCTCTAAATTATTTTATCAACCAACCAATCATTCACGGATAAGTAGTTGAGTACATGAAACACTCAAACGTACCTCAGACCTTCGGGGTAAGATTAAATCTTAAAGGACAACGAAAATCCTGGAGCTTCAAACGTAGAACAAAACTGTTGGAAACTTTCAGCTCATGTGGAATAAATCAACGGGTGAGCTAAAAACTCACCTGAGTTGAGTAGATATTGCAAGCACACCATCGAACCTGAGCACCGAGGGCGACCATTGTTTCAAGTAGAACCTGATAAACCGAAAAGAATAGTAGAGCAGTTATTCAGCAGGATAAAGAATCTGATCAGGTGATATAACATATGGCCACAGATGAACAAACTTTGAAGGGACGATCAAATACATGGATAGGATAAAAAAAACCATGCGATATATCACTTATCTCATAACACCGAAAATATAAAGTGCAATACAGCCCGTAAATGTCCAAGAATGGGATAAAGGTTTTTATTGAAAAAACGACAGCGAAATCTTATAGTCGACCGTATAAAAATTTATATCGAAGAAGAGAAAGATAACCACAACAGTGAAGATCTAATTTGGCAGGTTGAAAATGAAACGAGACGAGAAATGACCAATTTTGACTTTTTCATTTAATCAATGACTATACTGATCGAAAAATTAAACTGCAGCAAATTGTGCATTCAAGAGTAATGCTCTTGTCAGACACTTTTTCGGAGCAGAGTGTGCTAAAACGTTAGTTGCACCAAACGATCCGTGCAACAACGACTACCAAAACCGAGTGTGGTCGTCAGTCATTTTCTTTTCATCCCATTAAAATGTAAACAACGTAGCATTCTTCATTCTTTTTCTGCGACACGGCAATCAATATGGCCAATTATCAAATGACACGAGCACTGTTCAACACAACGCAAGCGGTAGACTGTCCAAGAAAGTGGCGCCATTTCGTGAATAACACACCAGCAAGTAGATACTATGAACTGGTTGAGCAGCAAAAGAGTAGTGTTTGGTTTGTTAAAATGCAGCTGCATAAGTCTATAAGGAAAATGACAAAAAATTAAAACCAACGGAATTATCAGAACATATTAAATCGTCCGGTAGGTGTATTTCCGTTAAGGATGTATCATGTACAACGAGATAACCGAAGGAACAATGTGTACATTTGCTGCGAGAATATGAGAAGCTGCAGCCGAGTGATATTTAAATGGTTAACTTACATGGAGCTTGCTTTAGGCGACGTCAATGTGAGCTATTCAAGATTTCATTGAAGGGTTATTTAGGCAAGTCAATATACGATAAGAATAAAAAGCATGCATACCTAAACCGCAGAAAACATTTGATTGTTCATTTGCAGGTTCGTGAAACTCATCTTATTTGTGACTTCGTACAAAGTCAGTGGATGTGTGTGTGGTACCATATCCACATTTCTTGTACGAATGACATCCATTCTCAATGTTTTCATTCTGATTGAGCGTATCAGAAAAAATAGACAGTACTCATAAAGCCAAGTCAAGAATTTGATAAATAAACTAGAAAAAATAGTCTTGAAGTACTATTTTTTGTTGATTTTCATTTACGCAATGCTTTCTTATTACATATTTGTGTGACAAACAGCAGACAGCCTAGACCCCGTAGTCACAGTCCTGCCGTTCAGTGATGGAAACCGGTAACCCAAGTGCCAAGATTTCGAGTGACGAACCACATAAGCCCCGATAGGTCAGGCATGATATTGAACCGGATGGCAGCAAAGCAGCCTACCAGCAAAGTTGGGTGGCGGGATCATAGTGCCCAAAGCGTACTGATGACCGTGACTGAACCACTGCGCCACCGTCACTTAAATTGAGTAGGCACATGAAATACTAAGAAATATCAAACAGATACTTGAAGGGGTTACAGTTCCTTAAACTAGGTGATTGAAAATCCAGCAGAACAATCATTATCGGAGCCAAGGATCCGGAATAGTGGATTCGATTATAATTATCGAGCTTTTTGGAACACCTGACTGAAATGAGTTGAGATGGCTTGTAAACAATGTAGAGTGCAGTCATTCTGAAAGACTTCAAAGTCCAATAATAGATAGCTGATTGAGCTTAACGGAAAAACACAAGATCCGTTCTAGCATCACATGCACACACTTAAGAGGTGCTCTGTTGACAACGGACGTATGATGATCGATTGCGAATTGTTGCAACATTTTCACGTTAATTTCTCATATTTCATTCAAAAAACTCGGGGGTGCGGTAAATGGTTGGACAAAGTGACTTTCATTGGATCAACCTAAATTCATGACAGTGTAGCACTTCATCACGTGCCACAATCGGTGGGTTTTTTTAATTTTCTTGAACTTCATACAGTTATACCTGTGTGAGTATTTCCCCCTAACAACACTATCACGAGTGAGCGAATAAGTGCACCTGAGTACACACACGATGCTCCAGATCACAGACGTAACACCCTATACCACTGATTTAGCGCTGGTTATACATAGGGGGAGATATCGGTCCCATTATTAGACAAACCTATCGTGTACTTAGTCACAAACAAAATTGTGGATTGTGTCAGATTGTACAGTAACACAAAACCTCTCCTACCCCGAAACCAATCGATGCAAAGAGATGTGTCGAATTTTAAACGACGAGGATGGAAGAAAAGTCGCAGTGATCAATGATAGAGAAAAGTCCGAAATAGGAAGAATATATGTTCATAGCGCATCGCAAAGATGGAACTGGAATCCATGGAACACCTATGCTAATGCCACAAATTTAGGGGGGTATATGGAAAAGAAAAAACCCATAAATAAAATGTAATGATTAGGCTGGGACTTCATTACGTCATTGGTTGAAATAGAAATAGTGTGGATGAAATTTATAAGCTCAGGTACTGAAACGCTTAGATCAGTGATAACTGTTCTGTAAGTTGATTTCAATGTTGTTGCATCGTGTTCAAAGAGAAGAGGAGTGTTAAGTGATGGACATAGAACAGTGAAAAAGTAAACATTGATTGAACGACAATGCATTTAGCGTAATAAAACAATATACTTGAAGACGAAGAAAAGTAGGACAGCGACCTTATGGTAAAAGGTAAGGCGCGATTACGCGATTACGAATCTCATAGATTAGTCAGCGGAGTTTGCCAGCTTTGACGCGGGATGAGCAATTTCAAAGTCAAATCCACAGTCCGGTAAACAAATCAACTATCAGCTGCTTAGCGAAGGATACCAGATCAAAAGTGAATCCGGAAACTAGAAAAGTAAAGTGACTCCGCAGAAACTTTTAGGGGAATTATTTGTGACGAAAAGCATATAGCAATGAGAAATGGACATCGTCATGAGCGCATGACCTCGTTGATTTTCATCGGCCTAGGAATCAATAATTAAACTGAAAGGCTGATCAATGGGCGACATGAAACCACAGTATTTCTTTAATTATGTGGTACATACAGCAACGCTTAGGATATTTTGAGGAAACTTGCAAAACGGAACAAATAGAAAATATAAAAGGTGGACGAAAACCAAAAGCAATAAAGCAATAGAAAGTTAGCAGAAAGTAGACCAACGAAATAATCTTCACATTGTGCTCAGTATATAATCAGAAAATAGGTAAGAGTACTATAGTGTGCGGTGTTAAGAATGACTCTCATGACACGATGGTGCTCAGCAAATGTGCTACTAAAAAGCGTATCCTTGAGGGTAGGAAGTTCCAATCATCCACAGCAATTACTTCGCGAATGTGTCAAATTAGGCTTTCCTGGACTGCCATGAACTCGGTATATGTTAAACTTTAGAGACCGAAAAGGCTTCAAAAGGGGACAGCAATGCTCCTATGGTATATATATATATATATATATATGGTATATATAAAGTGAGTGTCGATTATGATACGGCCATTGCATCTGCAGCTTTAGTTTTTTGGGGGAAACCAAATATGTGAAACACCGAAAACCCCATTTAGGTTCTTCGCTTTCTAAAATGGATGACAACACAGTTTACATCAGCTAACAGTATTTGATACAACCAGAAAGATCAAACCAGTGCTTCTAATTAATTGCTGCGAAAGTGTGAGATCGCCACATGAAACTTAACCAAGTGAAGTTTCATCGGGGCGAAAAATGCGCGGATCACATTTACGATCTACGCGGAGTCCTAAAACGTCGTTACAAATTCCAACAACTTGGGACTCATTGTTTTATTCCAACTTTGAACAATATCCGAGTTGATGGATAAAAAACCGTTTGTAGGCTATTACAAATTGGGTTCAGCAATATTGTCTTTTTAATTCACCCAACTCAAGGACGTAACTATAAATTCGTGTCAACGAGGACAAGTTGAAATGCCTCCCAGTGAATCCCGTTGTTACACGTGGGTGCCTCCTATAACAGACGATAATGAACAACGTGAGTGATTAATGCGTCACGCATTAACCGGTCATCAAAGTGCTCAGTGTAGTCCTGAAATTATCCTCGTTCACCTGGAAATTGCACACGATATCGCAAATAATTCATCAATCATTGTTCTTCATAATCTGAAACTCACTAAATGATTGCCCAAGGAGACGTTTTAGTTAACGACACTTCAAATCATTTTCCTCTGATGCGGTACTTCACGCACACTGTACTGAGAATTTAATAGTGTTTGACAACCAGTGCTAGCGAAAAAGAGCTAACTGCATATCAGAGCTAAAGAGCGATTTTGCTTATCTCTCATAAGCTCTCCTTAACCAACTTGACTTCTAGTAGGCAGTCACATAAAAGACAAAAGTCAATACAGCACTAACCTGACAGTTGTCTAAACAAGCACTGGGCAAACACAACGAAATCACAAGTTGACTGAAGTCGACAGCGTTGGACAGATGAGGTAAAACCAAATAAATTATCGAAACAAATCGAAAGAGAAAAAAATACAGAAAATCGAGAGGGAAAGAATCTACCTACCAGGTGGCACATGCACAATATTAGGCTAAAATTGTTCATAGGTAAACAACCCTCGGTTTATGCTTAAGGTGCAAGCACAATAGCGATCGGAACATCCACTTTGGTGGTTGATCCTTTTCAGACTATTTCGTCCTACACTCGGTTCAACTGTGCAAACACTGCCAGTTGACATCAGTCCTCCATCCGAAATGGAGGTTACCCGACAAAATAAGTCACCTCAAAAGGCCCCGACGGGCTGTCCCTATCGGTTTTTAACGATGGAGGTTTAGCATTTGTTTCGGAGTTAACAAAACTCCTGGGCTCAGTGTGGGAAAAGGAACAGGTTCCAACTGAATGGTGTGA